CTGCTCCAGACTGCTTTGACTCCTATCAGAGAAGTGAATGGTGGAATAGGAGGCACATGAATACATCACCTGGATGCTGCAGGCCGCGGAGACGTACTTCGCCTGCAGCGCCCAGCGGAGCGCGTCGAGCGCGTTATCTCTGACGAGTTTGCATGCGGTGAAATTCGAACGGGTGGTGGAAGGTGGCAGGGGAAAAGGATGGAACGCGGGATAGCTACCACGCCATTCGGGACGCGGGTTAGGCTTCGCTCCCCGATCTGTTTCCTTTTTCTTCTTCATTGAGAGCTTCGCAATCTAGGTCCGGACAACCGAGCATCATCCCTTCTCTCTGCTCTCTGGTTGGTGGTTGTTTGGTCGGGTTCTTTCGTTCCTAGCCCTTGCCCCCTTTCCTTTCCCTCCCCTCCCCTCGTACCCCTGCCCACCCCCTGTTGGCAACGACTCCTCGTATCTCACTTGAGGAAAACCCTAGTTCTACCCAGCTGAAAGTCGTCCGGTTCCAGAGCGAAGCTGCAGATCTCCTTGCACATGCCGCGCGCCTGCTCGTCGGAGCACGTATCCGGGGAGGGTGTGCCCCCGGCCTTCCATTCCGCGAGGAGCCTAAAACGGCGGTACATCTCTAGGTAGTCGAGCCTGAGCGGATATGCCTCTCGCCGGATGCGAACCACCTATATTTTTCATGTTGGACGACGGGGTCGTTAGTGCAAGGGTTTTCGATGAACCGATGGAGCGTTGAAATAAATGGCCACGTTCTGTGGGCCCCGCAGTCACACCGAAAATTGCTTTTACCAACGTTCGCTGCGTATTTGCACCCTTTCGCAACGTTTGGTGCACTGGTGTCGTCTGCAACATGGTCGTCGGGTTTCGAAGACCTCTCGTTGAAACGAGACGACTCCATTTGAGTGGTTGTTAACAGTGGTATTGTTGAAAGAACCGTCGTCAAGGTAAAGCACTTTTTGAGCGACAGTTTCAGATGGAACAGTGTGATCAACTGCATGGAACCCGAGGATAGACACGTCCGCTTCGAGCGCCATATTTTCGTCGGACGTTTCCGTGTGCTGGTTCAGTGAGCACAGTCGCGATTATTCGTGACGTCCCCGGCTACCAGAAGCCGTGACTCGGAGAGAGGTGTTCTAGCTGTTCCTCTGGTTTGCAGGGTATACTACCGACCGTACAACGACGAGACGTGCTCTTTCGCGAAGGGTCATCCTCTCCCGAAAACGACAGTTGGAGAAGCCATCCTGTAATTCACGAGGTAATTGAAGGCTAGAAGCGTAAAGTAGTCTTCCTCCGGCGGAGGCTTCCTGTGATATTTCTGGTGTCCTGGCCTCAAACGTTTCCGTGCCTCGCTCCCTTTTTCTTGACATAAGCATTGCCCGGGATTCACTTGGCGAACGGTCGGCTTTTCTTCGCCACTTCGGCTTGGTATGCGTCATACACGCACTAGCTGCAGGTAGCAACATGCTTTCTCGGTACAGGGAAGCAGAAGTAGACGTGATCGATGTGCAATGTCTGTTGACGCGAACAAATGTTCCTAGCGGTTAATTGTGTTGTTGTCAGCATGTCTTATCGTTGCACACGCAGCGTAAACCCTTGCACCGTGCGGCCGGGTGCGGAATCACCCGGATGATACGAGCCATGCACCAAATGAGCAAGTGCCGTGCACACAGAACACGCGAAGACCGCGTTATTCTGTCGTTGAGTTTCAATTCCACTGGTGTTCGATTTGCCTGAGGTGCTTCGTCGCCGGGTGTTCGAGCAAGGGATATGGAACAGACGCTAACCTGTGTTCTTGAACACGGAGACGTATCGCGTTGTGCCATTCATTAATCCACGCCGACAGGCTGAGGGAGTTCTTGATTTCGTGTGTGCATGTAGAACGGCTCTGATCTCTGCCCAGCAAGCCTCTTTCCGTTCTTCTCTGGGCTAAAGAAATGGAGCTGAAGCAGAAATGCGATCGAAGAAAGGCTTGTCTTTCACCAATCGCTGGTCGATCAACGATGCCAAAAGCATAAGCCGCACCTCAAGAACTCCGGAATATCGCAGCTGATCAATGACGAGGGGGCTAGACCAACCGCCCGGCGCTTTGGCAGAGTTTGGCTTGATACATTTGATGTAATGCGGTTCCGTTTGCCCAAGCTGCATCACGAGGCTGTCTAACTGCCTGGAAGAAGCAAGCAAGGCGGCACGAATGTGGCTGTCGTTGTCACTTGTTTGACTGTGCAAAAATGCTTCGCAACATGTTTTATGTGTCGGGGTTTCCAGTTGCACCATGAAGCGTGACTGATTGTCAGGTCTCGCGCAGGAAATTCATTCCATTTCATTGATCTCAGCGAACGCTCGTTTCTCGGGCGAGGTCCTGCATCTCATGTCCGAAGACGCCCCTCTGCGAATCGGGTGGGATGCCTGGTGAAATCCCTTCACTTGGCCATGGCTTTGTACTTCTATCTCCGCGCGTTTTGGATGCCATCTCGCCGTCCTTGTGAGCACATCGCGAAGAGAGTAGATGGAATACTCGGCAAAACTAAAAAGAAGCGAATCCAACACATAAACATCACGAACAATGCAAACATATGACGAACTGTACGACGAACCGAGTGAACAGAGGGCACCTCGTGGACGAACGAGGTGTGCATGGGATGACAAGGATGAATGAAAATTCTGAAGACAAGCCCAACTGGCACCTGCGGAAGAGGCTGGACACGGTCGTGGCGTTGGCTAGCCCGCCCCACCTCTCGCTCTCTCGGCGGCTCTGCCTCCTGTCTGACACCGGAGATCTCCCGCCTTGGCCTTCACTCTCGTAGCGGCCACCAACGCCACCGCGGGAGGGAGGGGACGGAGGTGAATCAGCCCGGTGAAAGGCGACGCCTACTCGTGCCGGCGAGTCCTGGGGAGGGTGATACTGCTGACCGTCCGGAACGGTGGGGGTGATGTCCGCGAGCTCCCGTACGAAGTTGTTTTTAGAGTCCAGGAGGAGGGCACGAAGGTCGTCCTGGGGCATGCGAAAAACGCTAGGGTTTACAAGTTATCCCTATGGCGTGGGCTCATGAGAACAGCAGTGCCATCCAGGGGTGACGCAAGATGATAAGAGAAGCACGCAGTAGGACCAGCCAACAGCCAACTGGCTGCCAGCATCCAGTTGAGACGTTTCCCAAGCTCGAAGAGCCAAGTGAATCTCAACGACCCAAACAAAAAAAGATACTCTGAATACAGTCGCATGTCTGAGTTCATAAAATTTCGCGTTCTGTTTTCCGCTTTTTGAGGGCGTGGTGTTGTGTTGTACAGATCCACATATCACTGTCCTTGGTAGAGAAAGGGAGCGCGTTGAAGGGGGGGATGTTCATCGTGAGGTCGAACCAAAATGAGGTGGAGTTCAGCATCATTCAACTGTCGCCCCTGGGTTTGACCATTCAGGGCATGACCTATATCATACGGGTATGGCCGTGAACTTCCAACGCCCCCCAAAGTTGTCCTCCCCCCAAAAAGCCTAACGTTTCCAATTCTCTCCCCGACGCCGCCCCGTTCCGATACCTGAAGCGAGTCATTGTTCTTCTCCAAAAATCCAGCCACGTCGTAGGTGACATTCCCAGCAAAGTGCTTCAGGGTAAACAGGTCACACTGCATGCGGGGCTTTAAGTAGTTCGGGTGGGGGTTTCTCCTGTGATGCTCCTGGTGTTTCGCGGGGTTCGGGACGGAATGTCGTGGTTCGGATGTGCGCGGGATGTCCAAAGCTTGCTTGAGAGTCTAACGCACACAATGCGCTTCCTAAATGCAATGCTCCGAACACATCGGCGTGCTTGAAATGACGTGCCATACTCGTGAGCTTTTCGAAGCTGCCGGCAACGACGAGACAACGTGTCCGGCTGCCTAGTTTAGCGGAGCGATTTGAGCACGTGAGGAACAGGAATCCCAAGCAGTTGAGACGGACCCTAGTACGATCGGCAGATTTGCTTGCCTGATGATAGAGGTCGAGGACGCTCCTGTCATCGAGCTTGTTCATCGCATGCGCCTTTCTTCCAGTGAGCACCTATGCAAGCGTTTCGTTTCGTAGGAGGGAGTTCCATGAGCAGTGAGGGAAGGGCCGGGCGCCAGGGATTGGGGTTGGAAGATCAATCAAAGCGGCGGTGTAGGTTGCCAAACGAAGAATTGTTTATTTTGCCGTGTTACTTCATGTCTCCCCCAACTTGTGTCGAAAAAGTAGTCCCGTTCTCGCCTACCAGTCTACTGGACGTGAACAAGGGCCGGCTATGAACGGTACGTCCGTTCAATCCGGGGGCATGGGGCACAGGTGGGTTTGAGGTCCCGTAAGGACACAAAAAAACTATGCCCTTGACTTCTCACCTGGTCCTCGAGGATGATCATGAGGCCGAGGGGCTTCTTGCAAATCAAATCGATGATGTCCTGATTGTTCTTGAAGGGGATAGCTGCCACGTCGAGACCCTCCGCTTTGTATTCTTCCTGCCAAAGGTCGAACGGAGAAGGCAGGAAAACGTTATATTGTGCGGGTTCTAAGGCAATAGGCGAAACAAGGGTTTCGCCCCTGTGGGACCTGGGGTATAATAGTTTGAAACCTGAAGCCCCTCGAACAGGCAATGGGGCTTGCAGCTGCGTGATCGTGGATTCATTTCCAACGGCGTGAGCGCACACAAAGACGAAAACACAGGCGGCGATTCCGGCTTGTAGAAGCCGAAATGAAACCATTGGACTAGACTAGTCAGCGTTGACAAGGGTAATGTCGACTAGTCAAATGGTTTGATTTCGGCTTCTAGAGTATTTTCTCCAGCGCGAACGTGACGGCTGAATGACGACTCGAAACCCCATCAAGGCGGCAAGCAACTGTTCCGGTGGCTTGCTCTCCGGCGTCATTCCTCGACACTGCGGAAGACGACTTTGAGAAATGGGTGTCTGCGAAGTCAACCAATCCCGAAGAACTCCCTTCCTTGAGTCATGATACCGCCTTGATAAATGCGAACGAACACCGCGAAAGGGTGCAACGTAGGTTATCATCCAACCCCGCTTGCCTGCTCCAGCACGAAGATGTGTTGGTTGAACTGCCGCTGCAGGACCTCGTTGGCGAAGTTGATGCACAGCTGCTCGAAGCTGTTGGTCTCCATGATCTCGAAACCAAAGATGTCCAAGATGCCGATGAACGAGGACCGCTTGACTTCGTCGTCATCGATCCCAGCAAGTTCGGCTGCTCCTGCATCAAGAGTCGTAGGAGAATTGTAAAGTCCCGGGGGTTGTTCAACAAAGCTGACGCCAGGATCCGTCTTGCAATACCATGTTGACCACAAATCGCGGGTGGGCCCCTCTACTCGTTTTGCGATGTTGTGGTTTGGCAATGTTTTCGGCAACCCTGTTCTATCACAATCGGCCTGGGTGTGCGTGCAATAGTATTCTCCTTTGCGCTCTAAGCCACGATCAGCCCTGGCTTGGGGTGTGTGCTACAGATGTTACATCTGGTTTCCGCAGATAACGTCAGCAGGCAGTACATGCTCAAGTCCTGGCGAAGACCCACTCCGACTACCACACTCCACAGGACCACGTCCCTGTCCTGGCTTCTCGTTAGATGCTGCCACCAGGCACGCTACGATAAGGCGACGGTGAAAGTTTGTCACGCGTACCGCATAAACGTTCTGGGCTGGGCCACCTTTGATGCTCGTCAATGTAACGGTGTTTTTGTGGTCGACGATGGTCCGATGAATGCGATGGTTAATGACGCCGGGAGACGGGCCTAACAACCAACTAGCTAAACATGTGATTGCACAGTAACGAGATATTGTGGTTGCTGCAGCGTTTTTCTGTATGATTCATTCTGTTGCTTTGGACACCTTTGTTGAGGATGACGCCGCGGACATGCCGCTGGTGGCAGCGGTTGATGAAGGCGACGATCCAGGTGAAGAGCTTGCCGTAGGTGTGCTTAGACAGGGCGGACAGGTTGTCGCTAGACTCGCGCGCGGTGAGGGCGATCTCATGCAGCGACTTCCCCGGCGCCATTATGGCCCTCCACATAACCTTGAAGGTGGAAAAATAAGTACGAGAGGGCCATGAAATACTTCCAACAGCAGGAAAAGTTTTGCTGCTGAACTTTTTGCACCACCAGTAGCCTCATATTACTGCCACCCTCGCCTCGCTTCGTGCTCGCCCCACATGGTAGGTGAAAAATCCCTGCTACAACCTGACTGGAGAAACAAGATAGTTCAGCGGGGATCTGTATCCCAATACCGCAGGTAAGAGCCACCTTTCTGGTCAGAATGTCCTCGTCAAGCCCCAACAGTTCCGCGGCATTGGCCAACCCAGCCCCTTCACCGGACGAGGATTCATTAGAGCTCGAAAGGCTGGAATCCGCCCTGCAAATCTTGGTTTTCACTCCCCCCTGGGCCGGAGATTCCGTTTCCTGCACAGGAGGGGCAGAACGATTGCACACTCGTTCACGCGTCGCAGGTGTTCCTTGTTGATTGTCCACGGAGAGTTCTGTAATTTAATGTTTCGAACTTTTCCCTGGCAGGTTATTTTTTCGTGTCGGTGTACGAGGCCACCGAGGTGCATCGGTGGCTTTCAACGAGCTATCTTAAGTACTTGTCATCTCAGTTGGAGTTGTTGTCCTAGGGCAGTCTGCAGCAAGCGTTCCAATACCAGAACAGAGCAAACGAAACAAGCGGAGCGATCTAGCTGTCAGCCGACAGGCATGGAAGGCCTAGGATACTGGTCGGCTCTGAACACTGCAAGCTCTTGTGACGACTATTGTACACGGGGATTTGGTGTACGCACACGAGGTGGAGTGTTTTAAGTACTTTCCCATCACCCATGAAGGAATAATACGCATGCCTGGCCCCATGTCCACCGACGGGCGCGATAGCTTTGAATTTAGCGTGTAGAGAAATCATTGTACTTGACCGAAGGCCCATGACTCGCCTATAACAAAGCCTCGTGCGTACTACGCATGCATATGCACCAGTCGCCCGCCACCCACGTGTGTCAGCTGAATTTCCTACCGTCCCACATGCTTCAACTTGGAAAGGTCAGAATATGCTTTGTGGCTCAAACCAGTCGTGGCGTGTGGCTTGTGCACGAATGCAGCACTCCACGCACCTCGAAGCGGACGTTCCCCAGGTGGAGAAGCGCTGCCAGCACCCGGAACACAGCCGCCTTGTCGTCCGCTTCAAACCCCAGTGTTTCCATTGCGTGTTCCGTCTGCAAAAACTCCTGTTGTTGTTGTTGTTGTTGATATTGTGTTCATGAGAATATGTGGTAGAGAGTACAGGGAGGCGCCTCGTTGTCGAAGCTTGCGTCGTACCTTGCCAACACAATGACCGGCCGATAACATCTTGGTTCTATGCCCGCGGCGAACACCGAGGCATTTGTCCACGCGAATGGGTACGCGGTGGGAATCCCCCCGGGACGTCTCGAAACGTTTCACACAATATGGCAATCAATCCGGGGATAAACCGGAATGATGGGGGAACCGTGTGAGAAACCTACCCCAAAGCTTCCAGTCGGTATGCTAATGTCACACATAGGAGCGAAACCAACAACAAGGTGACGACTTGCAAGATTCGGAAGGAATGCGGTCGACGGTCCGCATTCCCTGGTTGGACGAGACGAGTGAACATGACGCAAGTAGCACCTGAAGCTAACTCAGGAGCTAAAGTAACTCGAATGCTTGGGGATAGTTCGATTTATTGTGCGATGTCAATCGTATCCGAACCGTGTTGACGTGTCTTGCCTGTCGGTCATCGACCTCGTCCGAGATAGCGACGCAATCTCCCTGGGATATCATGTGGAACTCCTCGGCAGGCGCCAGGGAAAGAGCCTCTGCCTTAGCCTCGTCTAGTCCTGCCAGCATCTGTCGACGGTATAAATAGAAAAATTGTCACGCTTGCGGGGAGTAGAGACACAAATCACGGTAAACGATCGCTTCGTGGGAAACGGAATTGCTTGTGTCAGACACTGTCCAGAGAGATGTCAGGCACTGTGGTAAGAGCATAAGAACAAATACCAACGAGTCATTTACGCGTGCGAGGTGTACAGGAGAAACTCAGAATGGTGTAGGGTCATTACGTACTCGTTTGAGTCCCGACATAGGACGAAGTTACAATGTTGCTGCCTGACAAGAGCGATGAAGCCTTATCGTCCCCCTGGCCGCAATTGTTGGGGGTGATGGATGCAACTAGTTTCCCCCGAACGGGCACCTTGTTCAACAAACAACATCTTTCGTGGCAGTAGTTTTCGGTATTCTTTCGGTCGATTGTTTGTCATTGGGGAGGCGGTTTCTTGGGCATCACCTGGTAGAAGATGTGGTACCCCCGTTCGCCGCTGTCGACCTTGACGAGCCTTGACTTTTCCAGCAAGAAGTGGTCGGTCGACGCGCCCACAAGGCGGCTGTCGCTGTCGTACAGGAGCTTAACGTACTTGCCTATGAGCAAGTGCCATATCAACCAGCGGCCCAGCGAAACCAATCAACGCGGAGTGAGGACAGCCTACTCAAGGATGTTGAAAGGCCACGAGGCGAGCTTGCCACTTCGACAGAGGGGCCCCGTAGAATGATGAGACCGGGTGTATATGTAAGAAGGGCAAGGTTTCCCCGTGCACGGACGGATGTTTGAAAGCCACGCGCGTCTCTCCAAACCCAAAACGAACAGCAACGGTTCCACAGACGGCAGGAGGGCTAAATGATCGACGAGAAGTGGTCCCTCACCGAACCGGCTGGAGTTATCGTTGCGCAGGGTTTTGGCGTTCCCGAAGGCCTCCAGCAGGGTGCTGCTTCTCAGCAGCGTGGCTTCAATTCTCTTCGCCATTGCCTCAACTTTTGCGATGTCCACGGCATGGATGAAATAGTGCAGTTCAATACGCATCCACGAGGGTAGGGAAAAGCGGCACTAGGCTGTATTGGGGGCGGAAAAGGTGAATGCATTGGCCTATTAAACTCAAGATTCTCCGATGCACTGTGTTGATTCATGGAACAATACCATACGCGCTACTCCCACGAAATACAGGCCGAGTGAACTCGCGTCCCCTACCTCACGCCTTCGCTACTACCAGTCTTCGCGGTAAGATTTCCACCAAGTACGGCTCCCAAAATCATAATTGGTGCTCATCGGATACTACTACCAGCACCACCTTCTACTTCGCCGCAATTCACTCGCGCTCTGCTACTTTAAGGTGTAAACAGCTCTGCAAGGTCAGCACCCTCAGGCGGAGGACACATCACACCACCAACTTACCTCCGTCGCCACTTTCATCGCCTGCTGAGTCTTGGGAAACACCGTTGGCAGGCTGAGAGGCAGTGATGAGGTATTGCATAACGTGCTTGGAAGCCTCCGTCTTGCCCGCCCCTGACTCCCCCGAAATGATGATCGATTGGTTCATTCCGCGCCTTTTCCCGTGGGTGTACTCCGCCCCGGGAGACTTCATGTACCTGGTGCACACGTGCGATGTTTTGCGGGCGGGGGCGATGTGCGTTAGAGGGACAGCGAGAGTGGAGGCAGAAGGCTGGGGAGTAATGCGGATCGGCTTACTTTGATGCCCGACGGCTACTTATCGTGGCTGCGCTGCACATCCCTCGGCCACGCGTCACGCACAAAAGGTGGGCCAGCCCGTATACCACCCATTGGCGCGGGTTCGTGGGTCAAGTTATTCGGGGCGTGGGCGTTGTCGAGGTGCTTGGGGTTAGTCGTTCCTACGTGTTCAGAATTATTCTACCAACGCGGGCAGGAACCGTTGAAATGTGAATGAGGTACACGTGTTTCCACATGCTTCCATCTTCGACGGCAACCGGTCTTTTCTCGGCTACAGCCACCTGCGTGCGTCGTGAAGAAGCGATGACGGTTCAATGACAAGGACTGAGGTTGGGCAAAAATAATGCTGGTCTTGTTATCAAGCCTAGTTGGCGTCATTCGTGCGTCGTTTCGCGCAGAAGACGGCCGGGGCTGTGAAGCCCGGCCTCGGGTTGTGATATTGCTTTGCACCTCACAAAAACAAACTACTTGTTGGGCACAGTCTTGTTGTAAATGAGGTGTTCCATACGGATGTCCCGTGTGCATGTACTTCGAAGCCCGACAAGCCGCATTTTTCCCAACATGGAACACCAATTACGGTACCGCATGGACTTGTTTCGCTTTGCCGTTCTCACCGGAAAGCTCGGTCGGCGACGGAAAAGACGTGCGGTTTGGCAAGTTTGTCGCTCAGCACCTTTGAACGCGCATCCTTTGCACGGCCGTTGCGCCCTCTCCCTTCCTTCGATTTCTGCTGCAAACATCAGCGAGGTGAGTGCATTGTTGTGCACCACCATGCATAGACATCAATGCAAGCACACACGCCGGGGGAAGACTTCCACCCACTAAGCTGGAGTCCCTATTTCACCGAGATGCGGTGGCGCCGTTGTGTTGCACATGGACACGCGTACAGCACCGATAACGTTCGATAGGACAGTAAAATAGCAAGCCTACCATTGTGGGTAACATTTGGCAACTACCCAAAAAACCAAGTACCTGTTCGTGTTTTCGACGTAGTCGCTCGGTAAAAGTGGCACCCTCTCGTTTTTTTACGGGATTGGATGATTCATACGGACGGGACACCACTGCAGCAGTGAAACGAAACACACCCTGTGGCCATCACCAATGATAAGGAAGGAAGGTTTCCGCCGACCAAGCTTCCCGGGCAAAAGGGGAAGCCAAATACACTGGAATAGACAAACAAAAGCAACTGCAAGCTCCCTCCCGCTCGCCAAAACAACAGACAATCACAACGCGTGTGAGACCTCTCGTTCGCCATCGCTCTCCTCGAACTCGTCTTCCGGCTCGTCTTGCATCTGATGCAGAGGAACCTCGTACAGCAGGGGGATGTTCTTGTATGGGTTGACGCTGATCAAAACGTCGGCCACGCTGGTGTAAATATCATCCTGCCACAAAAAGTAACGAGAGTCAGGTATTTTTGACAAGGTTGCCTAAAAGGCATAATTGCAGCGATGGTGCGGGCTCCTCGAAAATAGACTAAAAAAATACAGTGCAATT